AGGGAAGGGTCGAGACTATGTGTCATTGTTTTAAAGAGCCAAGACCTCCATTACCATGGCTAAGTAGCGAAATCTGAGTGTTCCGGTAGGTTTGTGTGTGTAAAGTTGTGTATTAACTTGTGCTTAGTGGAGTCAGCCTTTTTAGTGCTTAATACTATTAACTCATTTCTGTCATGATAAATGTTCACTCACGGCATCACTTCCGTCTTCTGTTGTCGTTTTTTCTTTGCATTTCACGACACTTTTAACCCATTACTAATGGAGAGGAGCGGGTGGGGGGAGCCCAGGCCCAGGTCAGGGTGCCACGGGGTGGGGCAGAGGGGGCAGAGTAGGCGTTGCTGTGGGCTCTGCCCCTCCCCGGTTTTGGCAGAACTCTTGGATGGGTCGATCAATGTTTTCGGCTGCTGATTGGTGCCAGATTTGCCAGGGGTGTGAATCAGCAGAGCACCACTGAGGTAGAAGAATTGATTACACCAGCTGGGATCTGGCCTATGGACTCCAGTGGGGCTACGGCCCATTGACAGCAGCAGGGATCTGGTCCCATTGACCCCAGCTGGGATCTGTCCCATTGACTAATGGAGCTACGGCCCATTGCCAACAACTAGAATCTGGCCCCATTGACTCCAATGGAGCTACGGCCCATTGCCAACAACTAGAATCTGGCCCCATTGGCTCCAATGGAGCTACGGCCCATTGCCAACAACTAGAATCTGGCCCCATTGGCTCCAATGGAGCTACGGCCCATTGCCAACAACTAGAATCTGGCCCCATTGGCTCCAATGGAGCTACGGCCCATTGCCAACAACTAGAATCTGGCCCCATTGGCTCCAATGGAGCTACGGCCCATTGCCAACAACTAGAATCTGGCCCCATTGGCTCCAATGGAGCTACGGCCCATTGCCAACAACTAGAATCTGGCCCCATTGGCTCCAATGGAGCTACGGCCCATTGCCAACAACTAGAATCTGGCCCCATTGGCTCCAATGGAGCTACGGCCCATTGCCAACAACTAGAATCTGGCCCCATTGGCTCCAATGGAGCTACGGCCCATTGCCAACAACTAGAATCTGGCCCCATTGGCTCCAATGGAGCTACGGCCCATTGCCAACAACTAGAATCTGGCCCCATTGGCTCCAATGGAGCTACGGCCCATTGCCAACAACTAGAATCTGGCCCCATTGGCTCCAATGGAGCTACGGCCCATTGCCAACAACTAGAATCTGGCCCCATTGGCTCCAATGGAGCTACGGCCCATTGCCAACAACTAGAATCTGGCCCCATTGGCTCCAATGGAGCTACGGCCCATTGCCAACAACTAGAATCTGGCCCCATTGGCTCCAATGGAGCTACGGCCCATTGCCAACAACTAGAATCTGGCCCCATTGGCTCCAATGGAGCTACGGCCCATTGCCAACAACTAGAATCTGGCCCCATTGGCTCCAATGGAGCTACGGCCCATTGCCAACAACTAGAATCTGGCCCCATTGGCTCCAATGGAGCTACGGCCCATTGCCAACAACTAGAATCTGGCCCCATTGGCTCCAATGGAGCTACGGCCCATTGCCAACAACTAGAATCTGGCCCCATTGGCTCCAATGGAGCTACGGCCCATTGACCCCAGCTGGGATCTGACCCATTGACTCCAATGGACCCATTGACTCCAGCTGGGGTCTGGCCCATTTGACTCCAATGGAGCTACAGCTGATTGATGCTGGCTGGTACCCTCTCATCTCAGCAATGACAGATCCCAGACCACAGTAGGGCAACCTGCCCTTCCCCCAATCCCAGCCATGTGCCCCTCGGAACTCCGGTGACAGCTGGGCTCTGCCGCCTGCAGCCTCAGCCTGGGCTGAGACCCTCCGGCGGATTTCACCGCGACAGAGAGGTTGACTTTCAGCTGCAGGGCGGGCTCTGGGACGGTGGGGAGAGGGGCTTCACGTGTCGGTGCCACAGCACAGCCTGGCATGGGATGCCCTGATTGTAGCTCCAGTCCCCACCCCCACTCTGGCCCCCTGTGCCCCCCACCTGCCAGCACCCCATGGGACAGAGCTGAGAGTGTGCAGTAATCCAAGCTGACTCAGCAGCTCTCCCTAGCGGTGCCCAGAAGGTGGGGGCAGCCTTGTGGTTAAAGCAGGGAGTCAGGACTCCTGGGTTCGCTCCCCAGGCTCTGGGAGGGACGTGGGGTCTAGTGGTTAGAGCAGGGTCCCAGGACTCTACCAGTTAGCAGTGCTTTCGTGGGAGTCACACAGACAGTCCATCGCTTGTGAACTAAGCCACGTTCTCTCCCTGGGGCGGGGGGCACTCCCCGGCCGAACCCAGAGCCCCAGGGGTTCGCACCCTGCCCAGTCCCCCTGCCCGCGAAAGGGGAATTCCTTGCCCCATGTAGCTCTGTCTGATTACACTCTCAGCTGTGCCAGCCCCGGGGCAGAGGGCAAGTATGCCCCTGAGCACCCAGCAGGGACAGGGGACCCTCCCCAGACAGAGCTCGGTTTGGGGGTTGCTGGCAGTGAGAATCCAGAGAAGGCAGCGGCCTCAGTGGGTAGGAAAGGGGGGGGGGGATGCTCCCCCCCCATTCATGGGCTACAGGGCTTCTGATCAGCACCAGGCAGTGGGTGGGGGAAGGAGAGACGCAGCCTCTTGGACCACCTGTGCTCATCCTCATGCCTCCATTCCTCAC